TGCTCTGGAGGACGTCGTATCTGGTCAAGGGGCCGTCGTGGTCCACGCTGGCTCCGTCCACTGAGAAAGGAAGCACCAGGTCGCCCCCGTGCTGTCCTCTCTCGCTTGGAGGGGGGGCCTGCTCGCCGAGGCACGCCTGGGTCATGCACGGCAAGGGCTCCGCGGGCCAGGTCGATCGTGATCTGGCCTGGCTTAAACTCGGCCGCGAACGGGTTCATGCCGCAGCGATTGCCGTCGCTCTGGCCGACGACCTTGGTGGCGCAATGGGTATCGTACTCGTGGCACTTGTGGTGCTTCGTGTCGCACTCGGTGTCGTAGTCGCCCGAGGTGTCGTACCTGGCGCCGTACTCGTCATGAGGCTGCTTGTTTCGCAACCCGTCGCATAGGCAATGCGCCTTTTTGAGGGAAGCCGTAGCGATGCTCACGATGGCGTGGAGGTGTGGTTGTCTCCCACGTCGGACGAGTTATCTCGTCCTCCTGCGTGCTGCAGTTGTTCGTGCCCGTGCCGTCAAGGCCGCATTTTGTCTCGGTACTGTGGCCGGCATGCCTCTCCTCGAATCGTGGGCGCGCCTCGTCGCCCTGATGGTGCGCACACCCTGTTGGTCGCCTCCCGGCGGAAAGGGATGTAGAGTCAACCCGCATGGGAAGGATGGGCAACCTTCCCCAAGGGGACTTTTCCATCCTCGCCCTCCCCGGTCCATCCTTGGCCGCGCCCCGCTCGAAAAGCTTCGGCACGGGCGTCCAAGGCCCCATGCATCCTTTCCGTGCATCCTCGTGATAATCGGGTTGGCTGCAGACGCCGATGACTTCCCGCGCGCTGGTGCAGAGGCACGCGCGGTTGTTCGCCCTCCCTCAGGAGGACAAGAAACACACAGACACAATGATTCGTCGATTCCCAGAAGATATGAGCAAGATGGGAAGCGGGGGGGGGGAAGACAAAAAACCAGAACATGTGGTAAAAGATGGGGAATTCTGTTCTATGTGTACATCTATGTGTATGCCCTGGGGCCCCTTCAACGATCTCCCGCGCGCGATTGCAAAAAAAAAGGATCTCAAAACAAAGGATTGCAAAAAAAAGATTGCAACGTTTTTTTTTTTGCAAAAAAAAAAAAAAAAACAAAAAATGCAATCCTTCGTGCAGAGGCACGCGCGGTCGTCCGCCCTCCCGTGGACGAGCGGAGGTGTGCAGGGCGGCGCGCCCGCCGCCCGCCGCCGATGGCGCGGGTCGGGGCGCCGAAGCGCGGGACACCCCCCGAGGGCGGGGCCGCGCGGCAGGGGCGCGGCGGCGGTGGCGAGCGCGGGGAATATACAGAGATCCCGCAGACGGCTCTCCACCTCCTCGTCCTCCTCCTCCTCCTCCTCCTCCGTCCTCCTCCACCTCCATCCCTCCCCTCCTCCTCCCTCTGGTTCTCCATCCTCCATCCCTCCTCCCTCCTCCTCCTCCTCCTCCTCCTCCTCCCTCCTCCTCCTCCTCCTCCTAATCAACCTCCATCCCTTCCCTCCTCCTCCCTCTGGTTCTCCATCCTCCATCCTCCTCCGTCTCCTCCTCCTCCTCCTCCTCCTCCTCCTCCTCCTCCTCATCATCATCATCATCATCATCATCATCATCATCATCATCATCATCATCGCCATCATCGCCATCATCAGCATCAGCATCGTCATCGTCACTATCATCATCGTTGATCCTGCTCCTCCTTCTCCTCCTTATCTTCCTTCATCCTCCGTCTCCCTTTCTTCCTCCATCCTCCTCCGTCTCCCCCTCCTCCTCCTCCGCCTCCTCCACTACCTCCTCCTCCTTCTCCTCCCCCTCCTTCTCAACCCTTGTTCTGCAATTTCCTTCTCCAAAAGAGCGTGGCCATAATTCCAAACACCCTAATGTTCATTCTTCGTAGTTTCAAACTCCGCGCAGACGCGGGGCCGAGGACCCAACGCCATCACGTGGTCTGCAGCAGTTTCGCAGAAAAAGTTCAAACGTTGCCATGCCTCGATCCCGGTGCTCCCTCCTCGTCCTGCTCCTGCCGTGGCTTCCTTCTGCTCCCCCTTGCTCCTCCCTCCTCCCCCTGCTCATCCCTACTCCCCGCTCCCCTTCCCCGTCCTCCAAATCCTCCCTCTGCTCCTGCAGGGGCGGCCGAGCCAGCACTCGGGAAACGCGCTTCCGCCACAGCGCCCCCTCTGCTCCTCCCTCGTCGCCCCCTCCAGATCCTCATCCTCCTCCTCTTCCTCCCTGCTCCCTCCTCCCATTTCTTGCCCCTCCGTCCTGGCCCCCCCTCGCTTCCTCTAACCCCTACCCCCTTCGTTCTCCGTCATCCCCCCCCCCGACCCCCGACGCCATGATTTGTTCACAACGTCGTCCTTCAGAGGTCTCGAGGTGGAGGAGGACGAGGAGGACGAGGAGGAGGTGGAGGAGGAGCGAGGAGGAGGAGGAGGTGGAGGAGAAAGAGGAGGAGGAGGAGAAGGAGGAGGTGGAGGAGCAAGAGGAGGCCCTCTGCTGGTCTAGAGTCTTCATTTGATTGTTTTGTTGCCCGCTAAGGATTTTTGGAGGCTGAAAGTTGCCAACAATTGTCCCTTGCGTTTTTGTTGCGACTCGAGGGAGTTTGGCCCACATCTCCACGTCGGCGGCGAGCCCGGGGGGGAGTTGAGAAGGGGCGCGCCTTCTGAGAAGTTGTCTGAGCTTTCCCCGAAGACGCAGAACACTTCTGAGAAGGCGCGAGGGCTTCTGAGAAGCTCCGCCGCCTGATGAGAGGGCCTTCTCCTTCTCATTTCCCCCCTCGCTCGCCGCCGATGTTTACGACTCGAGGGGGTCCTGGCCCCCTCGCTCCACCTCTCCGCCGTCCACCTCGTCGCCGGCCCCCGCCGGCGGCGCCCGGGCCCGCGCCCCGAGGTCCGACCTGCGTCTGATGCACGCGGACAGCGACGGTGACGGGGACGTCGTGCTCATCGCGGATGGCAAGGAGCACAAGGCCGCGAGGTAGGGGGAACAAGGGAGGGGAAAAGCAGGGAGGGAGGACAGTGTTAAGAGGAGGAGGAGGAGGAGGAGGAGGAGGAGGAGGAGGAGGAGGAGGAAGAGGAGGAGCATTAGTAGCCCAAGCAGGGTCTTGCAACTTTCCACTCCTGCACCCATCTCCCCAATGCCCTCGAGGGGGGGGGTCGAAGGTCGATAGAACCTCGCCCTGCCAAGCCAATTGGCGAGTTTTCTGGTTCGGTTCTCGAGAGAGGGTGCTGCGAGCGATGTCTGCGTGCGGGCCCTCTCGCCCGTCGGGTGTGGTGTCCCTGCCGACGCTCGCACCAAAACGAGCGTCTTGCCCAGAGGGGGCTCTGCCCGGCTCTGCCCACCCCCGGGAGGGCGGCGGGAAGAGGACAATTGGCGTTTGCTAAACGGCCCTGGGCGTTTACCAAACAGCCCTGCCCTGTTCGATGCCTTCCGTGGGTGCGTGTACTAGACGGCTTCGCTTGTCGGGGTGCTTGTGGGGGGTGGAGGAGGAGGAGGTGGAAGAGGAGGGGGAGGAGGCAGAGGATCAGGAGAAGGAGGATGAGGAGGAGTAGGAGGAGGATCCTTTCCTCTCGGGGTCCTGGGAAAACGCATCGGAGGACCAGGCAGTACCACAGATGCTCATCTGCTAATCCTTCGCCCCATGCTTGTTCCTCCCCTTCGCTTCGAGCAAGTGTATTCGTGGCGCGTGATGTGACATTGAGTTCGTTCTGTCCCCATGGTCGTTCGTGGGCAGGCATTCGGAGGAGGAGGAGGAGGAATAGGAGGTGGAGAAGGAGGCGATTAGGTGGGAGAGTGGGAGGAGGCGGAGGAGGGAGGACATTGGGAGGAATGATGGCGCAGGAGGAGTGGGAAGCAGGAGGGCGACGAGAACGATGAGAGGGGAGGAAGATGGGGAGTAGGGAGGACGAGGGCAGGAGAGGGGTCGAGAGAAGGGAGGTGAGGAGGAGGGAACGGTGGACGGAGGCGAGAACTCAGCATGTCGTGCATGGAATGCATGAAAGTCTCAATGACATATCTGAGCTAGGGCTTGCATGCAATATCATACTTCGGATCGTCTCTCGGAGGCTTCGGTGCACTCGGTTCATCGCGCTGGTGCCCTTCCGTGCCCGCCCCGTCTTACCTTCAGGAGTCTCTGTAGAACCCCGCTCCCCCCTCCGCCAGACACAGTAGTGCTTCTGTAAGTCCGCGACGCTGGGGGAGCACATGTGACCTAGGCCCGTAACCATTTACCAACCCTACCCTTGCGGGTCCAATCGCCGCTGCGGCATCGTACATTCTGGCTTGGGCTCACTGGGCTGCAGACACCCCTCAAGTTTTGATCCCCAGCCTTTTTTGAGAAACCTGACCCGCCGGGGTAGGGTTCACAGGTGGCTGCCTACTTACACCCCAGTCGTTGAAAGCACTTCTTTCTGAACTCCCACATCCCAATCTACTTCTAGCGCCCTCCTGCTTCAAGAAGCGATGTTCGTTTGCGTTGTTTGTCTTTCTCGCTCTCGCTGGGCCTGGCCCCAACCTACGTTGTCCGCATTTCTACCTCATGCTTTTACTTACTTCATCCAACTGAACGGGGAGGAGGAGGAGGAGGCCCACATGGGCGTGATGCATCAGAGCCTCGCGTTGGTCAACCTTCTGTCCTTGAAGCGCCAGGAGTCGGTTATGGGACCATCTGTCGTGGGGGAGGATGCGGAGATCAATCCCATGTATGCTGTGAATAGATCAGTATTATGGGGGATATGCTTCGATATGATATGTGGGCTTGGTTTCAGGTCCACGATGATGAGAATAACTATAGAATTGGGTTCCGGATTGGATCGTCAAAGTCGGAAGTATTCTACATCTGGGCGTTTTCCCACCGCGCCTGGGACAACATCCAGAACGCTCTTCATGGCAATAGGCCTAACCAGAAGAAGACGACTGTTGTCAAGGCCTTGGCACGATTGAGTCCAGCCAAGACTCCAGCTAGAATCTGCGGTGCTCAAGGTGAATGAGTATCACAATGGCCCGAACAATGTATGACCACGTCAAGAAGCACTCGACGGACAGGATGCAGGCCATCGCCTCAAAGCCGACCGCCGAGATAAAGCAGCTCATTGACAATTGTATGCGCGGGATGCCGGTGGGAGCCCCTTTCCAGCAGCATCGAGGCCAACGTTGAACACCGAAACAAACAGATGAAGAAACAAAGTGGAACCACCGCGGACTGGATGGCAGTATACTTCACTCTTGGATTCGGATTATCGGGGTATTATAATTGTGCGCGGGTTGCCAACATACGATAACAAAGTGAGCGCGGAACATCTGGTCACGGTCGCTGAGTTGCTGGAGCTTGCCAAAGTCGACAGCTTCGGGCAACGGCCCGACCCACCCGAACCCTTCGTTTGTCTGTTTGCGCAGTCCCTTGCGCACTCCCCGGCACCATTGGCAGCATCTCTGGCAGCGAGGTCTTGCGATTCATGTGCACGCTCAGGGTGCAGATCTGGATTTTCGTGTTTGGAGCGGGAGGGTGTTCAACGACGACCTCCCAGGGCAGCGTGGTGTGATTTCAGGGTTCTTCAAAGTGTCTCCGGGGACAACACAATTATTGCGAGCGGAGTCTGGACCAGATGGTAGCATATTTCAGCGCTCGAGTGCAGAAGGTACTACGAACTTCGAACGCGAGGAACGTGTTCCGCTTGCCAAGGGCAGCGCTATGGAGGGGGCACTCGGGCAGATCAAGACATTGGATGGTGGTCATTGTCTCGGCTACCACCAGAACGGCTCACTTTTCTTCAGGGCTGATAAGCAGAAGGCGTCAGCAGCATGGAGGTTATTGCAGTCCCGTGCTCCGCCTGCGCCGATGCTGCACGAACATTTCGTCACTTCCTAGGCTTGTCGCGGGTAAGCAGTTGGCATCGGAGATTTCAACGCAGCTCGGATGGCAAGCAGAATGTGTTAGTACAGGTACACGTGGCAAGGGCACTCGAGCCGCTCCCGCGGTTCGAGCGCGTGCTGCTGGTCCCCCGCAGGTCTCCGACCTCACGCTGGACACTGTGCAGGCCGCGATCAGAGCACTGAAATCACAGAAGGAAGACACTTTACCATAATGTCGATCCTGGGTAGATGTGGTGCCAAATTATGATGACAGGAAGCCAACTGACAAGCCCACGCCACCAACGGCAACGGCGACGTCGACAGGCTCGACAGCAGATTTAACGCGACCAGGTCGTGTACAGTAGCAGGTGCAGCCACAACCACCAGGATAACAACTCTGCCCTCCATCATCTGCGCACTCGGCTGGGAGTGGGTTCGCACCTGCTCGGCGAGTGCTCTGGCAGCCCAGAATCAGCAGATCATGTCGCAGCAGTTGCAAGGCCAGGGATTTGCGAAGTGTTTTGCCTTACTGCGTGGAGGAGATGAGAGTCTGAAGGGGCAGGAGAAGGCGCGGGGCGCTGGGCTTGCGCACTTAGCCAAACGACTTCGTGCAACTACCGATATGCAAGTGGGCATCTGCAAGCGTGAACCACCGCGATGACGCATTTGCGACGGCTTCGTGGCAAACGACCCCCTGAGGGACCTGCGCCGGCTAGTTCAATGAGGTTGGCAAGTATGCGATCCGCAAATATTACCAGCTGGAGCACTTTTGCTGGGCGGAAGTAATGCGTGACAGCGGAAGTCCAGGGGGCGCGCGACAACAGGAAAGTCCAGTGCGCCTTCGAGGACGCCGAGTCCATGGGAGATCAAGCGGTCCTGATGCGCGTGGATTCAAATGCTACCTTTGCCCTATCATCTATGCGAGCAGCGGCCCAGGCAACTGGGCGATGGCGCGATTTTGAAGCCATCGACGGAGCGGGGCCGACGTGTGGCCTGGACCCGAAGTGTGACAAGTACTCACCAGGTGTGCACGCTTGTCGGCCAGATTTTATCGCAGCGAGCACCGCGGCACGCGAGGCGATTGACTCTTTCCGCCCTCGCAGAGACCTCGGCGCGCGCTCTCATCTGGGACCCGAGCTCGCCATCAACGGCAAGCAGTTGGATGAGTAATGGCGTATTCTTCGGGCCCCCTCGGCTAGCCCTTTCGAGGCGCTCGAGAACATGCCAAATGGAGATGGCGAGGCACTCGGCGAGGAGTGCGTTGACCAGTACCGCGGCGATCTCGAGAAGGTATTGGGCGATGAGCCAGCGGATGAGGCCTGGAAACTTGTCGGCGCAATGGGAGACAATGCCCTTGAACGCCGATTGGAGCACGCGGACATTGGCTTCGATCATCGGCGCCGCGGACGCAGAGCCAGATGCCTAAGCTCATCGATTTCACCACGTTCTCTCTAGCCAATGCGAAGCGAGACCCTGCGACTGAGGGCCAGTCGACGACAACGAATGCGGACGTTGGAGAATACTCCAGCATAGTTGATGGAGCTGGCCACCCAGCTGGCGAAGTACATTCCTGAATGTGGGCCAGCAACTGCGCGGCCGCCGCTACGACGGCGACTGCGCGCGCAGAGACTGTGGGATCAGGCGCGCCCTCAGCTCCAGCGTGCCCCACGATTTCGTGACCGACCCCTCTCTCTTCCCCATCTCGATAGAGCTGGCGAGCGCCGAGATCGACATGGGGGGCGGCGCGCGCGCGTTGCCACGGGACGAACGCAAGCTATAATCGTTGAGTGGAGAAGGTTCACAGCGCTCGCTGCGCTTCGAGGATGGTCGAGACATGTACTCTTGGGCAAGGCAGCGCCGAGATCGCGCGCGACATGCTGCGCGAGGCTATCGCGAGCCAGCTATTGTTACATCGCGCGCTCGGACCCTTGAGGAGGTTGGCAAGTCCTGGACGACCGTCTTCAACGAACCCGAGCTGCGCACGTGGGGCGCCTTCAAAGCCTTATGCAGCCAGTATATCAAGAGGGTGCCATGCGACGTCGCCGATACCGCAGGTGAGCGATCACGAAAGCAATTTAAGGAACCAGGACCCACCAGAGCAGTTGCAGCAATTGGTGGGCGCATCGGAGAACTTCGTGCCCTGCCTCAGTGCATATGTGAAATGTTTGCGCTCCTGCTTAACGCATTCGAAGATCATTGGCTACCATGGCCAGGGGCCATGACTGCGGTAACCGCATCATGCCTTCCGAAGTGGGATCCTGAAGAAGATCACTGTGACGTAGTTGGGCCTGGTGCAGTATGGTTGGCCACGGCTGACATGACAGGGCCGATCGCAAAGTTGAGCCCGTTGCACACAGCATTGACTGGCGACTGGTTTCAGAAAGTGGCAGCTTGGCGCGGGTCTCGGTTGCGCCCTGGAGCGACAGGGTCTCGCCAAGGCTACCATTGCCGAGCCTTTATATGGAGCCTTAACTGGGGAGTTGAACTATCGCATCTCACGTTCGCACCAGTGCCAGGATGCACGGCGGACAGAAGTAATTGCTTTCGATATCCTTAAATATGGGGCCGGAGATAACTTGATGGAAGCATTCGGCTGTCCCGCTGGTGCACTTCGAGCGCCGCAGTCGCTCCGCGCAGCTTCGGCGACGCGTCGGAAGGTGGCGCTGGCAGTGGGCGGCGAGGAAAACGCGGCAATGGATGCGCGCAGGGCGACAGTTGGACACGGCAGCAGGCGTTGGCTTAGATGGCCATATGGGCTGCAGCTATCAAATTCAAAACAAAGAAATGGAGTGAGCCTAAAGCCAGCTGCTTCATTGACGACGGCAGCTTCTTCGCCGGCGGAGATGGCCGCGCCCGGGGAATTGCGGAGGCCACCCGGCTCTCTCTCTCTCTCTCTCTCTCTCTCTCTCTCTCGAGTTCAACCGTCTCAGCGGAACCGAGGCGAACCTGGGCAAGACGAAGCACTACGCGACTACGCCCAAGGCCGAGCAAGAAGTATTGAGGGTTATGCATGCCAACCACATTCAGGTCAAGCTCGCACGCAACTTCATCTTGGTCGGTGGCGAGGTGGTTTCAATTGGCAGTTGCCCTGCCAGGCAGAGGCGCATTCGGCATGCATCCGCGCATCGGGTAGCCGAGCGCTCTGCTGGAGCTTTCGGGCTGAGAGGCAAGCAACGGCTACTTGCGACGGCTGCGCTTCTCAGACTCGCGCCTGGATTGGAGTTCCGCAAGCTGACGAAACGCAATTATTTCAACTATCGCGTTGTATTCATGGGGGATATGTGGGCGAATGGTGGATGGATCGATCGCCTGCCATCGCGCCCACACTGGTCACGAGAGGCCACAGTCTTGAATGCAGTCAAATCGCGACTGCGCCACCGTTGATTGTGGCAAGAAGCATCTTTACCGGCCCCCATTGCAGCTCGGGCACTGCCCACGGCGGAGCAGCGCCGGCCGCTAACGCAACAACAAGCACGACGAGGACACGAGCTACGCACTACCAGGACGAACGATTGCGGGCCGATGGCACGTCTCAAGTGTGCGCTGGATGATCTCGGCTGGTCTTGGCCTGAGTTTGATTTCAATCGTGCCTGTGGTCAGCAAGTCTACTGCCCTCGCCATCCTCAGGGCTGGTGGTCGCATATCTTACGAGAAGGTCTCGGGATGTGGGTTCGGCGCACAGGCGTGCGCTTGCTCGAGCGAAAGGACGTGCAGGGGGTCAGCGCGGGCACTAGCAATCGCATCACCATGGCCATTCTGCGACGAGAAGAACACGCAGCAATGCCTGATGATGAGGGCGAAGCTGAAGAACCCATGGCCCAGCCCCCACCTCTTCTCAATGCAACAGAAGCGGTGGCCCCGAAGGTCACCGGGGCACAGATGCGTTTCCTTCGGGCCTTTCTTCAGGGCTTACAATCACCGGCCATCGCCTGCGACACTTGAGAGGAAACTTTATGCGCGTAAATATTGCCCCTTTTGCGGAGGCCCCGATGACCATGGGCCATATTCTGTGCGATTGCCAACGTTGGGCGTCGCAGCGGGCGCCACTTCTTTAAAGTTGCACTGATGGAGCTCTCCTCCAGCTACCTGCGCGCCCGCGCAACTGTGGTCTACTCCCAGATAGGCCTGAATATGATGCTTTCTTCTCGGAGCTGCTCCCTGATGAGCGTGACTTACCGCCGTCAACTCATCATTATGATGGACTGCGAGGTCGGAGGAGGAGAAAAGGAGGTACTTTTCAAGTAAAATGGTTGTTGGAGACGGGGTCTGTCCTGGGCAGGCATCTGATCTACGTCTGCGGCGACCTGGGCATAGCTTGTACGATGGACAAATCGCAGTCGCAACGTGGATGTACCCTTGCGAATCGCATCTCGGGGGCCCAGCGAGCAGAAGTAGCAGCGCAACGTCATTTTGTCGCCCGGCGTCGGTGCACGCAGCTCTCCTTGACAGACAGCATGCACTGTGTTCTGTTGGCCAGTTCGATGTATTTTTATGCGGGGGGTGCGATTGCACCGAAGCAGCGCCAAGACTCGCGGGCGTCGATCCAAATTGGAGTCATTGCTAATGGCGCCGACAAGTTTCGCATTGAGATAATCGGGGCGCATCGAAGCGCCGCTGGCGTTGATGAAGGTGAACGACCGCTGTGGAAACGCGATAAGTGTGCTGATAAGGGTGCTGTCCGAGCTACGCGCCAGTGCTCAATGCCCGCGGAGGTTCGACGACGGCACCTGCAGGGTCAGCATCTTTGCAATTACAGCACACAGCAAACATGGAGTTGGAAAACATGGGCGAATGAGCAGCAGGCCACGGGCAGGGACAAGCGCGACGAGCGCTACACCCAGGCCCAGGCGCTGTTGGAGGCAGACTTGGAGGAGCTAAACTGCGACCTGCCCGACGAGGACGAGGAGAACGACCCCTGGGCCCACTTGGACACGAATCAAGATGGCGACCAGCAGGACGCACCCCAGCAGCATCAGCCAGACCACCAAGCACCAGAAGCAGCACCTTCCCGCAAGCATCACGCCGCCACCATATATCTATACATATATAGAGAGAGATATCGATTGCGGGCGCGTCATCATCATTGGCGATGGAACCAGCGAGGCCTGCAACGATTATGGCCGCATCGCCATCCTCAGGGCCAGCGATGGGCCCCATTGCCGACAACCCACGCACGTGGAGTCAGAGATGGCGGTTCCATGTTTTACTTGGGGCCCTGTGGATCCGAATGTTGCTGCGCGGACCTTTTCAGCCACATTTACCCGAGCATCTGAATACGAAGCAGCGGGGTTACCAACGGGCCCTTCTCCCAGCTATCACCTGGTATTGCTCGCAGAAGAAATGGGCTGCATATGACACTCTGACGGCACCGCTTTCAGTTTCATGGGCTGAGCTGGCGCTTCACTTCACGATTGCGACTGGTCTACTTCCTGCAGCCTCTCAGGAGAACCCAGAGACGGCGACGCTCGCGCGCATGGCGACGCAGTGCTCGACAGCAGCAGCCCGCGTCGCCCTTCTCTGCATGTGTAGACTAGCACCACGAAGTACGAATGTGAATGTTGCTCGACAGCTCCGCTGGGGATCAGGCAAGTCCCTGGATTCCTGTGCAGGCCGACCTTTGTCAACCACGACTTGGCGATGAAGACGTTGTACGCAGTGGCGTTGGCGAGTACTGGCAAGCAAACGGGCATGCAGATACCACCACCATGGGGGACTTCGCCGACACAAACCAGGACGCCACCGAAGTTGGAGGCGAACATCAGAAACAACGTCATGCCGACGGATCTGGTTGTCTGTGCTGCGTTCGCCGCTCGGGAGGCTGGCGTCACAAAAAGGAAACAGAAAGCAGCAGTCCACATCAATGAGAGCTGCACGAGAGAGAGAGAGAGAAGAAACAAAAAGAGTGAGTACAGAGGACATATCGCGAGGCACAATATCTCCGAGGGCACAGGATTTTCGAGGGCTCAAGAGAATATCGCACAATCGTCAAGCTCGACAAGAGGGATGCCACCCATTGGCGCCGGCCACAGCCCCAAACAGGGATATACCACCGCCCGTGCGTTGCGAGACCTGTGGCAAGACGCATTCACTACAGAAGCTGACGGCCTGGTCGAGGTGGTTATACAATCCACCTGGATATCAGGAAGTCTCCCGACGGGACCACGCCGTACAGTTGAGATATATAATTAGAATAATCGCGGGAACGATCGCAGCAAACGTACCGAGATTCCATGGGCAGGCTGTCATGTATGATCTCCCAATCGCGATGCACAACGTGATTCGGAGCTCGAGTGTACGTTATGTTAAAAAATGATTACGCCACACATAAGAGTTGAGTTGTCTACGGCAGCCATGTGCGGTAAGCGATGAGGTGGCCAACGCTGGAGGCAGTACGAAGTTGGACACATTCCATCATGGAGATATGCTGACGCATATTTATTCTATTCACCACAGACGTGTGCCCAGGTGAACGACATCAGAAGAGAAAAGGGGAGGAGGAGGAGGAGGAGGAGGAGGAGGAGGAGGAGGAGGAGGAGGGGGAGGACGAGGAGGAGGAGGAAGTGCACCATGGCATCCTGCAGCCCGCCATGTCGGCTCGGGCGTTGCTCGGCGGCGGCCCGCCGCGGCCGCCCTGGCGCGGCCCGCCATGGGCACAACCACGCAGCCCGCTGGGCCGCAGGCGGGGTGGGTGCCGCCGGCCGCTTTGCGGAGGCCGCGCGGCAGCGGCGGCAGCGGCGGCAGCGGCGGCAGCAACGACGGACGGCCAAACCTCTCCCCTCCTCTTCTCTCCTCCGCCTGCAGCCTCCTCCTCCTCCTCATCTCGGGGGCCCCCAAGCGGCGCGATAACAACACCGTGTGTAAAACCGGGCGGTGACGGACCGTGCGGTGAGGCCTCTTGGGATGTCGAGGTCACCGCAAGGTCTGTCACCCCACAGTTCTGCGACCCCAAGTTCTCGTCCATCCCTTTTCGTTATCTGCGACAGCATCATGCAATTTGCGCAGTCTCAGCGAAGGCTTGTTTGGGGGCCGCCCGGCGGGCGCAACAAAATAGAATCACCGAGCTCGGCCCTGAAAGTGCAGTTTCCCGCCCCCTCTAAGGACGCTCACAGGGGGTTTTGCAATGAGCACGCCAAGAAGAGATTGTTGATATTACGCCAGGGAAAGCAAGTCATAGGGGCTGGTGCCCATGGGACTCATGGGGGTACAGCGCCACGGTAATTTTCCGCCCCAGCCCTTGAGGCAACCTATTGGCACACATTGCTTTACAGTTCCGTCCCTCCAACGTGCGTGACCATGTTGGCTCGAAGCCAAATTCTTACTCACAAATTTGCGCCCACCCACCCTCCCAATAGGTATCTTTCGGCGGCGACGGCTGCCCTAGTGGCCTTTGGAATGGGGTGCGGGGGGGGAGGTGCGATTGTGGCGGCGAAGGGGCCTTTTGCCACCCGCCGCGGCCTCCAGCGCGCGGGACAGCGTGCAACCACCCAGCGTCAGGCGACAGAAAGACTCTCGCTTGGGCGTTGGGAGGGATGTGCGTGAGAAGCCGTGCGGAGATAGATGTAATACAACGGGCGTCCAGGACCCCGGGCCCAGGGACAGCACACTTCTCTAAAACTACGTCCTCAAGAAGGCGCCAAGAGACCCTTGTGACCCTCAATACCTGCCCAAGACAGCGCAAGATTGCCCCCCGGACGCCTCCAAGGCACCCCCATCACGCCTTGTGACGGCTCCAAGAGGCTCCCCCCCAAAATCCCAAGAGTTGCAAATCGTGCCATGCATTGGGGAGAAAACACATTCTTCATGTCTTGCATATCCGCTTGTTGGTTCTTTACAGCGTGCAAGACGGCCCACGAGTCCCGAAGATATCGCTCCGAGACGGCCGAAGAGGCTCCAGGAGGTCCAAGAGGCTCCCAGGACAGCCCATGAGTACCCTGAGGGAAGCCAGAGAGGGGCCCCAGAGGAGAACTCGAACCGGCATTTCGAGCCCTCCGCCCCTAGAAGCCAACAAGCCCCCAAGAAGCCCCCAGCAGGCCCCAAGAGGGCCCCAAGATCCCAGCAGGAGGCCCCCGGGAGAAACACACAGTGGGCCCCAAAGATGCCCCAAGAGGCCCCAAAGAGGCTTCAGAACTGCTTCAAAGACGCCCCGAGAGGCCCGTTCGGAGTTCGACCCTGGGGCGCACGTGGCACGCCTGAGCGACTCTGCGGGGTCACGGTTGCCCAGGCGCTGGCTCGTGCAATGAATTGTTTCAGTTCCACCTTGGATGCCCACCCGGGGTCTCTTCGAAAATGTTTGAGATCGTGCTCCACTTCCTGACACATTCTCGACGAGGTGTAGGATGAGCAGGCCAAGGAGTAGAAGGTGGACTCTGAGGCCGATGATGGGGATGATTCGCAGGAGGACGCCTGCCAAGGTCCCAGCCAGATCGTCGTCCGAGGCTATGCCGACACGCTCGAGCTCATCTGCGGGGGTCACGGCTGCCCCGGCGCTGGCTCCCAGGACCAGCTCAAGACGGCCCCAAGACGGGCCCCAAGCGAGGCCCCCCAGACGCCAGGACCACCGCTGGACTCCAACAGGCCCCCACGACGCGCGCCCCTGCGCCCCAAGAGGCCTCTCGGAGGCCGCAGAGAGTTTCCAAAGGCTTTCAAGAGGTTCCCAAAGGCTTCCTAAGAACCCGCCCAAGGAACCGCGCTCAGAACCTGAATCCCCCTCGATCCTCGAAATCTGCCTCCCCTCCCCATCCCCTCCCTCTCCTCTCCCCCTTCTCCCTCTCGCTGGTCTTCAGGGCTGTGCATCGAGCCTCAGGCGGTCGTTCGCAACGGTTCGGACCAGGAGGAGGGGGGAGGAGAGGGGGAGGCCCAGGACTGCTCCACCTGCGTTCCATCACAGCGCCATGGGCTGCGCTGGAGCCCACGCGCGCGCGACGCGCGCGTGTGGCTCGAGTAACTAACTCCTCCCAGTCGCACCCCCAGGCGTGTTGGTAGGGCGAGCCGGGCGTTTCGCCTTATACCTCCTCGCAGTTCTTGAATCCTCGCATGTTGCGTTTGTTTCCTGGCTGCAGGGGTGGTGGTGTTCAACATGTGGCTCGCCGCTCACGTGTGTCGTAAAAGCTTGCAACATCTTCACGGATGGAGGGGGGGTGGTTCTCAAAATGTGGTTCTCGCTGTACCGCTTCGCACGTTCGTCGCCAGCGGGTATTTTGCCGATGTATAATCGAGCATCTCTTTTTCCAACGTGAGCCCATCGAATTCATTGTATCCCATTGTTATCTGAAAGTGGATCTTCCTCGCGTAGGTGGTATCATACGGAGACTTTGCGAAGCAGAGACCAGTCGAAACACCTCACGCATTAAAGTGGTGAAGCTCAGAGACAGACGAGTGGTAATAGGACATGCTCTGTTCATAAGCGAGGATTTGAAACGGCACACGTACTTCTGAAATTTGCCTCACCAGACGCCTTACGAGCACAATCATATCACTTCGGGTGCAACGTGTTCCGGCTTAGCAGAGAAGCAGCGGCTGTCAACAATGCAATGCTGCGTCGAACATTTATTGTTCAACAATTCGGCACTGCAGCAAGGCTTGCGCGGAGAAGATGACACATCACAGAACACATCTATCTCTCAACGCAGTGTTGATTTTCGCGACATCGGCGTTGGCAGTTCCTCTATCTCTCGGCACTGGGAGGAACTTCCCGGACAGATCGAGCACGATCCGAAAGCAGTGTGCGATGCAACGTTATCAATTCAGCGATAGCGCCGTGGCCGTGTGGCACGGAGCACTTTACGTGAACATTGTGGCATGTTGATAGAAGGTTCGGAAGGACAAGTGCGAAATAAGATGTGGAAGTTTCTACTTGTGTACGCTGACGGACTCCTTTCAGAAGGAGGTTCCGTCGCTCTCCTTTGATAGGAAAGCGACGGAGACTGACTAAACGATTACCGCATACCGTCTTCAGAGCGCTGTCCTTTTTCCCGCATGTGTGGAAACATATCGTCGAACTGACGTGCTTCAAAAAGAATCCATTGCGGGTGGGGGAAGGCTGGTTGCAGGGACCTTGCTGTTTATACGAGATGCCCCGATCATTCTCGGAAGCGTATGGTCCATGATCGAAGTTTCTTAATACTCACGGATGGAGGGGGGGCGTTTTCAAAGTTTGGTTCTCGCCTCAGCGCCGCGCATTTTCGTTTAAAACAGTTTGCAGCCGCTTCACAGATAGATTGGCGGACCGTTCACAAAATGTGGTGTTCGCTTTTGCGCCGTGCCAATGTTGTTTTACACTCTGCCGCATTTCCATGGACCGAGTGGCGGTCGTTTTGAAAGTAGTGCTCTCGCTCTCAAGCCGCGCGCATCCTTGTGCAACACTGCCACTCGCTTCGCAGATGTAGGGTGGCTCCTGTTTCAAAATTGGGGCTCTCGCCGTTGCGTCGTGCGCGTCCGTGGTTTTTGTCCAGCGTCGAGCAGGATCGAGGTCTGCTTTTTTTTAAGGTGGGGATCTCGCCTGCGACCTCCTGAAGCTCAAAGGGCCAGAACTTCGACGGACGTAGCGCTGCACCGATCCAGGGCGGCTCGTCTTCAACATGGACCTCCCGCGGGAGACTCCCTTCGAACTTCCTGACCGCAAGGGCCAATATCTGTAGCAGCTTCATGGGTAGGGGCGGCTCTGCTGGGATGGGGGGGTCTCGTTGGACACGTCGCGGGGCTGCGTGATTGTTGTGTGTATGTGTGTGTATGTGTTCGGCGTTCTCGGCTACTCACCAGCAAGATACAAGACGGGTCCCTTCTCAAAGCGGGGCCTTCGCCATCATGGCGGGCTCAGTTGTACTGGTCTCTCAAGGGGCGGGGGGCGGACCTGGCTGTGGAAATGAGGATGTGCAGGGGCGCGTGAGGAGGGGACTGTGGACGGGAGGGTGTGTTGCAGCATCGCTGGTGCATCTTGGGTTTACTCCAGTCCTCCCGTTCTCTTCCTTTTCCTCCTCCTCCTCCTCCTCCTCCTCCTCCTGCTCCTCCTCCTGCAGGGCAGTCGCCTCCGCCGTCCGCCTTCTCCTCCCCCGCCTTCCTCTCTTACGTCCTCGCCCGACAGCGGCGGATGGCGATGGCGACCGCGGCGGCGGCAGCGGCAGCGGCAGCGGCATCGGCGGCGGCGCTGGCGCCTGCGAGCGGCGAGCCGCCATTGGAGGCTGCGGTGCGTGGACCTCACAGACGACAGCGGTAGCGACGTCGCCGAGGTCGTCGTTATCGCCGCGGACAGCAAGGACCTCGTGAGGGGCTGGGACACCCAGGCATCCCGACGTCCAGGATGCATCAATTGTTCGGAAGAGCGTGTGAACTGCCCTTTTTGTATTGGGCCTCTGGGATGCTTCTCGCTGGCACGGCTGAAATCCAATGGATCTTCTGCCCAGAAGGCATCCCAGGACAGGTCCGTTTGGTAGGACACCACCCATGGCCCAGGAGGACGGAGGCGGGATGAGGAGACGGGGGGAGAGGCGGAGGAGGTAGGAGGAGGAGGAGGAGGAGGAGGAGGAGGAGGAGGAGGAGGAGGGAGGAGGAGGAGGAGATGGAGGAGGAGGAGTAGAGGGAGGAGGAGGAGGAGGGAGGAGGGGGAGGGGAGGAGAGGAGGAGGAGGAGGAGGAGGAGGAGGAGGAGGAGGAGGAGGAGGAG